CGCGGGTGTGGCGCGTGTGTCGGGAGACGCGGGTGTGGCGCGTGTGTCGGGAGACGCGGGTGTGGCGCGTGTGTCGGGAGGCGCGGGTGTGGCGCGTGTGTCGGGAGACGCGGGTGTGGCGCGTGCGTCGGGAGACGCGGGTGTGGCGCGTGTGTCGGGAGGCGTGGGTGGGATGAGCCGTGACTGCGCCGGACGTTACGGCCGAGTTATGGGCGGCCATCGTTGCGGCGGCGCTCCTGAGGTGTATGCAGTTATTTATTTGGTGCACAGATCGTAGTGCTATTCCTAAGCAGGAATGGTCCATGCAAAGTTCGATGGAGTCCCATCATACATTTTCATTAACATTGTACACCTTCCCTCTTCTCGTTCTAGATATCGTATGTTACAGGTGTACGTTACAGTTGCTTGTGACAGGTTTGCGTTACAGGTGCTATTTTCACGTGCTGTTATACGTATCTCGTGCCTGATATACGTGACAATAACAAGATGAAGTGTCGCAAGTGTCCGGGGGGAAGTTCCCAGCACGCGAGATGACTTCTTAAATTTTGTTCAGTGTAATTAAAGTGCGTCGTCATCTTCGGTCGCGTGATAGTAATTTAAATGAGTGGACAGATCTTGTTCCGTGGAGCGCCAACGTGACATGAAAACGTCTAAAATAGATGAACCTTGTAACCTTGATGCGTCTAGAGTGACGACTGCAGCGTGTCAGTGTGCAGTGCGGAGACAGCCTAGTGGTGCAGTGCCAAGCCACTGGTTCACTGGAAAGCCAGTGGTACAGTGCTAAGTCGATAGTGCAGTGCTAATCCAGTGAGTGGTGCAGTGTCAAGCCAGTGGTGCAGGATGCCGCTACTGGAGCTCGTCAAGTCTCTTACGCTCGGAAGGAGAAGGCGGGAGCGCGTGTCGCTCTGGGGGGCCAGGTCTCCTCACCTGCCACAGTCCCTCCTGGGCACCCACGGCACCTACACGAGCCATGCCCCCGGCAGTGAGTGGCCCCCTGCTACCCCCGGTGAGGGTACATCATCGTCAGGAGGGACACTTGCCGTGTCCGCCCCACCCTCGCCCCGGCAAAGAGCCTCCGGGCACCAGAATTGGTCGGATACTCTCCCGCGTGTCAAACCCGACCAAAATTCTCGACAAATTTGGTCGAACCGCCCACCCGATGATGATCTTTTGTTGTCCCCTCGCCACGATGGTTGTCCGCTGCCGTCATCCCCGACAACCGTCGCGCCTACAAATGATCATCCAGAGTGTGGGGCTGAGGAATGCAAGAGCGCGTCGAACTCCAGAACCACGCCTCCTGTCTGTGACCGTACGAATGATGCTCTCAAAAGCAGCGGTGAAGAACGCGGCGAAGTGACGCAGCTGGAAGAGCTACTTGTAAGTTCCCTGCCTTCTGACGTTACAAGCGATCGAACTGACGTCGGTGTGACCAGCTCGAGTGTAGCTGCACAGCCTGTGTGTTTGGGTGTCATGGGCGCAGGCGTGGGTCTGGCCGAGGACGGAGGGAAAGTCTCGACCGGGAGCGACGATCGAACGTACAGGAGCTTGCAGAAGCCCCCGCAGCTGAGAGCAGAACGAGGCTCTCGTACAACTCGGCAAGTGAATGTAGCGGCTACTGATGCTAGTGTATCAGCTTCAAGAGGTCCTCTTGTGTGTCATGTTTATGATGCACCTACAATTGTTGCTACCCCAACAGCAGGTGAACCCAAGAAAGCTGACGCCTTCAAATGCAATGATATCTCGCGGGAAACTGAGGAAGTTTACCCACTGATCTCCTCTCAACCCAAGTGCTGGGGCGAACCGCATGCACATTCCTACCCTGCCCACCTCACGACCACCGCACCAGCCATCAGTGAGCCCTCGGTTGCGCCGAGTGCCGATCTTGCCTCACAAAAGTGTTCGAGGACAACACCACCTCGCATCACATCTGACAGCAATGTTTGCCGAACTGCCGTTAACTCGAGCTCAGTCCCAAGCAACGAGGGTCGCTCGGTGAACTGTCCCTGCTGCCACCATGCCATGCACCAAGGCCTCAGTGCTGGACAAGCCGCGGCTGGAAATAAGCTTGGTCCTGGAGAGGATGAGGCGAGGCTGGCTCTGAGAGGGATCCCGCTGCTCGAAGGTGCTGCGCAGCTACAGAATTGTTCAGCCTGCACGTCAGCGCAACTTGTTCCTGCGACGAGCGTCGTCTATAGTTCCACTACCATCGCTCCTCAACGCGCCACGCTTGTCACTCTTTCTTCGTCCTCGTTCCCTTCAGGAGATAATTCTGCTCCTGGCCTCGTGCATCCGTTGTCTGGCCTCAAGACGAATAATGAAAATGATTCAAGCTCTAAAGACAGTCCCCACATTTGGCCTCACGCTAACATCGCCAAAACTCAATCTTACCCCAAATCAGTTGCTATTGTGGCCCCTCTGCTCCCTTTGAATGCCTCAGCGTCAAGCTCTTCCGCGCCTCATTCTATAGTTGGCAGTTCTCAGGCTCACGGCGCGCAGCCCATCAGGTCACCTGTTGTATGCAAAGGGCCCAGCTCACAGCCCACTCAACCAAGTAACAATAAACTTAAAACGGGTCCCACGTTGAGCACCTACTCGCCCGTCAGAATGGGCAACCCCGTAACGAGCAGATTCTCGTTCAGATCTGACATGATTGCACTGAATCGAAGTCAGACCAATGGCAGGTGTTGTATGATGCGCAGGAGTAACAGCAGCGATGCTGATGATGTTCCTTCGCTCTCTGGCCGTTTGATGGCTCGAGAAAACATTTCTCCTCATCTTAAACACAAACTCTTCAAGGCTGGAGTTTCCAAGATCGAAAGCTCGGATGGAAGCAACGTGTCCGATGATCCTCAGTGCAGTCGCAAACGCGCGATACTCTGTGACGACAAGGAACTGCCCATCGGTGATGTTCCATCCTGCAACTGCAGCGTCGACGACTCCAACTGCCACCTGCACAACTGTAGACTTTCTTATCCCTCAGCGCCTGCCACTCACACTCCTACCTCTCTTCCGTACTGCCGTGAAGACCAACAAAATGCTTGGAAAGCCAGCGCATCGTGTCGTCGCCTTCAAGACATCGAGAAAATTCGTCAAAAAATACTGTACAGAAATCCCAGCTCCGTTGGGTGTTACGTCCGACGCGTGAACAGCGTCGTGAGGAGGCAGTCGTCGCGGCTCAAGAAACCGACGGCAAAAGTTCGGCGTGTGAAATCATTCAAGGAGAGCAACGAGAGAGACTGGGACGTGCCTGAGCGTGAACAGGGCGATAGTCCACGACATGACATCATCCTTGACGCGTCCAGTCTCACGGACACCGAGACCACCTCTGCGGAGGACGACTCTGAGTACCAGGACTGTACGGATGATGAGCGGAAACGGCCATCTCCCGTACAGGAGGCGGCTGAGAGAGAACATAGCAGTGACATAACACTCAAGAAATGGATAGTGAGAGTCGACAACAACAGCGTCGAGGACGAGGAATTCTTCTATGACTCTTTGCAGGATTATTATGAAGATTATGACCGCTTCTTCATTGCTAACAACAACTCAAGTGCAACTGACATTGAACAGCACGATTGGCAAGCTTCTGGGCAAGGTGCAAGCCGCAACAACAACAGCTCATCGTTGATGCCCGGTGATCAGATTCAGCGCGTGAAGGTAAAGCTGCTTGACGACAATCGCTTGTATCGCAAGCCTCTTGTTGTGTCCTCTGATGAGGCACGCGCTGCACATGAACTTCCTGAAACTTTACGCCGTGAGGTGCCGGCGGCGGTCCATGACAATCGCTGGGGAGGCTCCTCAACTGCTTCGTTCTCACCAGCTCCTCAGAGCCGCGATGATGGTACTAGTGCAGTTCACCCGAGTCCCGATGAGGTCAATTTTAGCACCGGTGTTGTGGATAACGCCCAACAACAGCGTTCTGGTTCAAAGGTTTCCAGGCTGGAGGAGGTTCCTGCTTTGCCTGGCACTTGGACGTGTGCAGCGCCGGACGATGACGACAGTGACGAGGAATGCAGCTTAGAGAAGCTGGAAATGTTCTTCAACGATCCTATCACCAAGCCAAAGTCGACACACCGCGAGATGAAGAAGAACCTTTCATACTCGTACGTCTCGCCTCGACATTCCATGACCTATGAGAGGGCAGCCCCTCGACCTGAGGGCAACCGCCGGGGCGTGGCTCACGGGGCCCACCAGGGCTTGTTGTGCCCCAGTGGTGGGCAGGACGCGTGGCAGGAGGTGGCAGCACAGCTGGAGGACGTCTGGGACAGCCTGAGGCTCATGGAGGATCCAGAGGACTACAGCGGTTAGAAGTGTGGTGCTTCACTTGCGTGCGCTCTACTAAAACCTGCGCTCCTACTAATTTGATGTTCTGCTCAGTTTTTAGCAGCTTTTGAGTGTTGTTAGTCTCATCGGAGCGTGTTTAACAAGAGGCGTTAGAAGCATAATTTCGGGCGATAACGCATCGATATCTTGGTGTGACATGTCCCTCTAGACTAGAACCTATCGTGTATTGTGCGTGATACTCATCCTTGCCACTCGTATTACTCACGTTGCTCACCCTCGCCCACTCGTATTACTCACGTTACTCACCCTCGCCCACTCGTATTACTCACGTTACTCACCCTCGCCCACTCGTATTACTCACGTTACTCACCCTCGCCCAATCGTACCGCAAAATTTGCCAATCGTTTGCTAGGCTAAAACAATTCTAAGCGTCGAATACTAATTTAGACGATCTTTTTATAACTGCATTGAAAAAATTCATTGACTTTGAAGCACTATTGGGCAGCAAATTGACAAATACTGAACTATTGGGCAACAAAAAAAACCTTCATAATCCCATGAAGTGCGATATTTACAGTTCTAATTGACATGATCACCATCGACATGATTGAAGCGGTGAGGTTTTCGATGAGAGGAAGATACAGGAAAAAAATAACTCAATACTCACAGCAGTGAGTGACAGAGAGCGCATTTTCTCGTCGACGAAAACTTGAGGTCACGGACGGACAGACAGACAGACGGACATGGTGAGCACAATAGTGCATTTTGTCCATAAATGAGAAAATGCGCTAAAAAGGTAAGCTGGGAGTGGCAAGGCGGTGGCCGCGGTGCAGGGGTGCTGGCCGCTGCAGTGCCAACTCTCAACTCTGCGTGCCACTAACACTGTCCACTGCCACTAGTTACGTCACCAAAAGCAGTAAATGATCTGTAGACAAATGAAAGCAACTTAAACTAGTGAAGCCACTAGTGCCTCCTAACTAGTGATTGTTTCGCTGCCGCTTACCGATGAAATGAACAGGGGTCGTACTAGCTATAAGTTCATAACTCGTTCAGCTTATGACGGTTCTTCAGGCCAAACCTACAAATCAAAGAGGATATACCGGCCGTTACGTACTTAGGCCGCTACATGTTCGTAGGCCGCTACGTGGACTAAGGCCGTAACATGCACCTAGGCCGCTACGTGTACTGAGGCCGCTACGTGGACTTAGGCCGCTACGGGTACTTAGCAAGTTATGATGGCAGGGCCCGAGAGCTATGGAGGGTCCCGCTCTTGCAGTGGCCCGATATCCTGCATGCTGAACGCACAGCGTAGAATAACATGAGTTGTTATAGCGTGTGTCTAACGTACGAGTGATATTAACGTATTTATTGTGATATATGAGAGTCAACGCAGCTCCTGACGTCGACCGAACTGTTATAGGACGTCTTCTATTGACGTCCAACATCACGAGGAGCTCCATCACCTCACGTACCTTGTGTCCTTTACTAGAGTTTGTAATTATGTTAGCGTGCAATATGCGGCTGTTGGCAGTCACCTGATGATGGTTGTGTCACCTGATGATGATGGTTGTGTCACCTGATGATGATGGTTGTGTCACCTGATGATGATGGTTGTGTCACCTGATGATGATGGTTGTGTCACCTGATGATGATGGTTGTGTTGCAGATGATGAGGGCGACAAGACGGACACCACGAACGGCTGTCTGGATGGTAGCCCCTGCTTCCCTTCCCTCAGCTCTTGCACCTCCACCACCACCACCACCACCACAACCACCACCACTTCTACCACCACCTCCACCGCCTCCACCACCGCCACCCACGACGACCGACCTCCCGCCACCAGCGCTGATGGCGGCGACGACAACAGAGTGCACGGTGAGGCAGCAAAGTTCACAGCCTCAAGGCTCGGTAAGGTCTAAGGTTTTACACAATCAAAGTTCTTTGATATCTCATTTTAAATGAATCAATTAACAAGAAACTTCAACGAGAACGGCACCGATCAACCCGCAAGTATATGATCATTTATAATTTATTTTTCCAAACGAGCAAAGTGGGCGCGCGTGTTAAGGTTAAACTTTATTAATTTTGCTCTTGATTAAAATCTTGCAATCTTCCAGTCCTCTGGTTGTTCCATCAAATTCGATTGGCATATAAAATAATGGCAGTTCGACCAAGCAGTAGAGGGTCGACTGCGTTACAGCGGCAGGCAGACAGGGTTCAGGGTTGGTCGAGAAGGATCATGACGTTGGCATGACGTGACGATGAAAGATACGAAAATGAATCCCGCTGTGGCGCCAGAAAGTCGATACTGCAGAAAATAAGAAGAAAACATAGTTAAGACCAAACCTCAAGCTAATCAAGTCTCACAACACAGTTTTACTTTCGTCATAATACAAATTCTCTATGATTCAGCAACCGACCTGAGGTTTTTAGTGCCCAGTGCTGGTACTTTCTCTTGAAGAAATAAATTTGGAAATTTAGATGAAATCAGTAAAAGGGGTAGGAAGTTGAACCGAGAAATACAGAAATATAGCAAGAGGTTCAACTGCGTTTGAATTTAGATCAAAGTTTCAAACTAGCATAGCACAATCCGCAACAATAAAATCTTAACAGCCTCATCGGATTGCACCACCCCGCTATCTGAAGACATATTTGAATAGAACTCTGATATAACTTTGAAATGGATATGAATATAATTTATTTATAAATTTGAATAATAGTAATTAAATATTTGAGTATAGCTCTGATATAGGTAGTTATAATGTAATAGATACTTTAATAATCTACTCGGACAAGCCGAGCTTTAACTCGAAATATTGAATACATTAACTATAGTAAATGAAGTGCTATTAATTATTGAAAGATCTAATTTTGTACTAATGTCTAACTTCCCTTGAAGCAAATTAGGCATATAGAGTTGGTGCAACAAAAAATAAATCTCAGTAAGGGCAGTCTCAAGGCTCATTAAGGGCAGTCTTGAGTTTCATTAAGGGCAGTCTCAAGGCTCATTAAGGGCAGTCTCAAGGCTCATTAAGGGCAGTGTTAGGGCTCATTGAGGGCAGTGTTAGGGCTCAGTAAGGGCAGTGTTAGGGCTCAGTAAGGGCACTAAAAGCGCAGTTAAGTCTCAGTAAGGGCAGTCTCAAGGCTCAGTAAGGGCCAATTAACCTATCCCCTTGCCCCCGGCAGGCGACGGCATCGCAGGCGGGGTGGCGGTGCTGCCTGCCGAGCTCCTCAACACAGGCGGGGATCGCCCTGGTAACGCCTACCCCCCCTTCCCCTACCCCCCCAGCAGTAGTTACGCTACCTACGACGGTAGTGGCCAGGCAGTCACGGTAACTAGTGTAGGCGAGAGTAACGTTGTTGGTAACGGAGTTACCGGTAACACACACAGCCTCCCCCACCCCTCCCACCACGTGTCCCTGCTGTCACTGCAAGCACAGCAGAAGAACTTGCACAGCGTCGGCTCTGGACACAGCACCCTGCCCCCCTCATACCACCATCACCACCAACACCATCATCACCAACACACTAACTCCTTACGCAATGACCACACCAACACCCCCGACCCCCCTATCATCGTGTCGGAAATTGGACCCATCCCTCCGCCCCCCATGTTCTCATCCCCCTCTCCCGTAGCTCAACGTAACCCCTCAGCGGGGGGTAATATGGGGCCCCCACCCCCATACCAGCCCCCCTCCTCGGGGGTGTCGGCCAGTGGCATGCTCCAGCATCATCAGCACCAGCAGCACCAACAGCTGCACCATCAGTTACAACAACATCATCAACAACAACAGCAACTACAGCAACAACATCACCAGCAGCAGCAGCAACAACAGCAGCAGCAGCAGCAACAACAACATCATCATCATCACCAGCAACAGCAACACCATCACCACCAACACCAACCTTCCTACGAAGGTGAGTGTTTTGGTCGAGACTAACACGTTAATAACACGTTACTCAATTTACTCACACGTTACTAACACCCCGGCACAAACCCTCCCTCGCCCCTGACAGACTTCACTAGCTTACATGAGACAAGCGTCTGAGGTATTTGGTTCTGGAGTCTTTGTTTCTGACGACATTGGCTTTGGCGTCTTTGGTCCTGACGTCTTTGGTTCAGGCATCTTTGGTTCTGGCGTCTTTGGCTCTGGCGTCTTTGGCTCTGGAGTATTTGGTTCTGACGTCTTTGGTTCTGACGTCTTTGGTTCTGACGTCTTTGGTTCTGACGTCTTTGGTTCTGAAGTCTTTGGTTCTGACCTCTTTGGTTCTGACGTCTTTGGTTCTGAAGTCTTTGGTTCTGACGTCTTTGGCTCTGACGTCTTTGGTTCTGAAGTCTTTGATTCTGAAGTCTTTGGTTCTGACGTCTTTGGTTCTGACGTCTCTGGTTCTGACGTCTTTGGTTCTGACGTCTTTGGCTCTGACATCTTTGGTTCTGACGTTTTTGGTTCTGACGTCTTTGATTCTGAAGTCTTTGGTTATGACGTCTTGGTTCTGACGTATTTGGTTCTGACGTCTTTGGCTCTGATGTCTTTGATTCTGAAGCCTTTGATTCTGACGTTTTTGGTTCAGGCGTCTTTGGTTCTGACGTCTTTGGCTCTGACGTCTTTGATTCTGAAGTCTTTGGTTCTGACGTCTTTGGTTATGAAGTCTTTGGTTCTGACGTCTTTGGCTCTGACGTCTTTGGTTCTGACGTCTTTGGTTCTGGCGTTTTTGATTCTGACGTCTTTGGTTCTGATGTCTTTGGTTATGACGTCTTTGGTTCTGACGTCTTTGATTCTGAAGTCTTTGGTTCTGACGTCTTTGCTCTGACGTCTTTGGCTCTGACGTCTTTGGTTCTGAAGTCTTTGATTCTGAAGTCTTTGGTTCTGACGTCTATGCTCTGACGTCTTTGGCTCTGATGTCTTTGGCTCTGACGTCTTTGGCTCTGACGTTTTTGGCTCTGACGTCTTTGGCTCTGGTGAGGTCTGGATATCTGTGTTAGTAGTATATTGCGTCAGTTTGTGCATGGTCAGCGATGTCTCTCCAAGATGGCAAAAAGGAGAATGTTGCATGCTCCAAGATTCTATAACCTGATACTACTATTACATTAAAACTGGCTGGTTGACTAGAGCAATGATGTATTTCTTCTTTCAATCATTAAATCATCTTACAGCAAACATGAGTTTCGCTCCTCCCTGCTCGGGTTACCTCTCTCAGCGGGCGCTGTTGGCTTGCTTAGGACAGAGTAACTCCAGCGAGATGTCTTGTACAACTCCGGGTTTGAAGTCTTCAGCCTCTAGCAGAGTTGGATTGTCGATATTCCGCTTGGGTTGGCTTAATTTTATTTCATAGATCGGTCGAACACAGAATTGGGCTCTCTGGTATTGGGTTGTTGCTGCTGGATCTTGCTCGTTGTAACTCCTGATCATCAATTTAACGAGCTTTTCTGTTGTCGCTACCGAAACACGTTCTCTTTCCAGCCCCCTTCCTCCGAAGCTTAGCTTAGACTCGCGTACAGAACGTAGACGCTCACCTCACACACAACCGCTCACCATACCCGTCCTGCAGAGACTGGCGGCTCGCCACGTCTACCGCCTTATATATCCCAGCAGGCTACCTCCTACGCTGTAACTTTACCCTAGATTGTCTATTTCTTCCCTGTAGCGTTTAGTAGGTATATGATTTAATCAATACCTATTCACTTTCCTTAGGTGATCTATCTTTTCCCATCTCGTTTTTAGTACCTATATGACTTAAGCATTTCTTATTCACTTTTCCTAGGTGATCTATCTTTTTTCCATCTCGCTTTTAGTATATGATTTAATCCTGTACCTATTAGTAGGTAATTGATGTAATCTGTTGACGTAGTCTCATTTGTACACAATGTACTGACTATCTACTGCTGGTGCGTGGCCTGGTGTTGGTGCGTGGCCTGGTGTTGCTGNCCCGCCACGAGAGCGTGTCTGTGTGGTCCCGCCACCTGAGCTTGTCTGTGTGGGGCGCAGGGAGGGCCCCACCACTTGGCCCCATGGAGGACGAGGCTGGGGACGACGAGGCCGCCTACGCTGGCGAGGCCGGCATCCTCGCCTGGTTCCAGGCCAAAATGGCCAACTTCGCCAGCGCCGGTAACTCCGAATGCCGGCCTGCCTTTTTTGCTCTCTATAATGCGGCCTGCCCTTTTCGCTTTCATTAATGCGACCTGCTTTTTTTCTTCTCATTATTGTGGCCTGCTTTTTTCACTCTCATTAATGCGACCTGCATTTGTTTTTCCCTCATTAATGCGGCCTGCCCTTTATGCTTTAATTAATGCGGCCTGCCCTCTACGCTTTCATTAATGCGACCTGCTTTTTTTCTTCTCATTATTGCGGCCTGTTTTTTTTTCACTCTAATTAATGCGACTTGCATTTGTTTTTCTCTCATTAATGCGGCCTGCATTTGTTTCCCTCATTAATGCGGCCTGCATTGTTCTTGTCATTAATGCGGCCTGCCTTTGTTCCTCTCATTAATGCGGCCTGCTTTTTTCACTCTCATTAATGCGACATGCATTTGTTTTTCTCATTAATGCGGCCTGCATTTGATCTTGTCTAATGCGGCCTGCCTTTTATCTTTTCTATTTTCACGGCATTTTTCTTTTCCTATTTCTGTTGCCCATCTCATCCACGCTCTCCTCACCGCCCCGCACCGAATGCGTCGTTGTATGCGTAACAGAATGCGTCGTTGTATGCGTGGCAGAATGCGTCGTTGTATGCGTGGCAGAATGCGTCGTTGTATGCGTGGCAGAATGCGTCGTTGTATGCGTGGCAGAATGCGTCGTTGTATGCGTGGCAGAATGCGTCGTTGTATGCGTGGCAGAATGCGTCGTTGTATGCGTGGCAGAATGCGTCGTTGTATGCGTGGCAGAATGCGTCGTTGTATGCGTGGCAGAATGCGTCGTTGTATGCGTGGCAGAATGCGTCGTTGTATGCGTGGCAGAATGCGTCGTTGTATGCGTGGCAGAATGCGTCGTTGTATGCGTGGCAGAATGCGTCGTTGTATGCGTGGCAGAATGCGTCGTTGTATGCGTGGCAGAATGCGTCGTTGTATGCGTGGCAGAATGCGTCGTTGTATGCGTGGCAGAATGCGTCGTTGTATGCGTGGCAGAATGCGTCGTTGTATGCGTGGCAGAATGCGTCGTTGTATGCGTGGCAGAATGCGTCGTTGTATGCGTGGCAGAATGCGTCGTTGTATGCGTGGCAGAATGCGTCGTTGTATGCGTGGCAGAATGCGTCGTTGTATGCGTGGCAGAATGCGTCGTTGTATGCGTGGCAGAATGCGTCGTTGTATGCGTGGCAGAATGCGTCGTTGTATGCGTGGCAGAATGCGTCGTTGTATGCGTGGCAGAATGCGTCGTTGTATGCGTGGCAGAATGCGTCGTTGTATGCGTGGCAGAATGCGTCGTTGTATGCGTGGCAGAATGCGTCGTTGTATGCGTGGCAGAATGCGTCGTTGTATGCGTGGCAGAATGCGTCGTTGTATGCGTGGCAGAATGCGTCGTTGTATGCGTGGCAGAATGCGTCGTTGTATGCGTGGCAGAATGCGTCGTTGTATGCGTGGCAGAATGCGTCGTTGTATGCGTGGCAGAATGCGTCGTTGTATGCGTGGCAGAATGCGTCGTTGTATGCGTGGCAGAATGCGTCGTTGTATGCGTGGCAGAATGCGTCGTTGTATGCGTGGCAGAATGCGTCGTTGTATGCGTGGCAGAATGCGTCGTTGTATGCGTGGCAGAATGCGTCGTTGTATGCGTGGCAGAATGCGTCGTTGTATGCGTGGCAGAATGCGTCGTTGTATGCGTGGCAGAATGCGTCGTTGTATGCGTGGCAGAATGCGTCGTTGTATGCGTGGCAGAATGCGTCGTTGTATGCGTGGCAGAATGCGTCGTTGTATGCGTGGCAGAATGCGTCGTTGTATGCGTGGCAGAATGCGTCGTTGTATGCGTGGCAGAATGCGTCGTTGTATGCGTGGCAGAATGCGTCGTTGTATGCGTGGCAGAATGCGTCGTTGTATGCGTGGCAGAATGCGTCGTTGTATGCGTGGCAGAATGCGTCGTTGTATGCGTGGCAGAATGCGTCGTTGTATGCGTGGCAGAATGCGTCGTTGTATGCGTGGCAGAATGCGTCGTTGTATGCGTGGCAGAATGCGTCGTTGTATGCGTGGCAGAATGCGTCGTTGTATGCGTGGCAGAATGCGTCGTTGTATGCGTGGCAGAATGCGTCGTTGTATGCGTGGCAGAATGCGTCGTTGTATGCGTGGCAGAATGCGTCGTTGTATGCGTGGCAGAATGCGTCGTTGTATGCGTGGCAGAATGCGTCGTTGTATGCGTGGCAGAATGCGTCGTTGTATGCGTGGCAGAATGCGTCGTTGTATGCGTGGCAGAATGCGTCGTTGTATGCGTGGCAGAATGCGTCGTTGTATGCGTGGCAGAATGCGTCGTTGTATGCGTGGCAGAATGCGTCGTTGTATGCGTGGCAGAATGCGTCGTTGTATGCGTGGCAGAATGCGTCGTTGTATGCGTGGCAGAATGCGTCGTTGTATGCGTGGCAGAATGCGTCGTTGTATGCGTGGCAGAATGCGTCGTTGTATGCGTGGCAGAATGCGTCGTTGTATGCGTGGCAGAATGCGTCGTTGTATGCGTGGCAGAATGCGTCGTTGTATGCGTGGCAGAATGCGTCGTNGGTGACTGCCGTGGTGATGGTGACTGCCTTGGTGATGGTGACTGCCGTGGTGATGGTGACTGCCGTGGTGATGGTGACTGCCGTGGTGATGGTGACATGTCCCTGGCGTGCAGATGACGAGGACTCGGCGCTGGAGGAGGAGATGCTGGAGGGGGAGGAGGGGGAGCTGGACACGTCGCTGGTGGAGGAGGTACCCGCCAGGGAGCCCAAGCTCGACGCCCGGCCCCTCAAGAGCGCCCTTAAGAAGAAGAACAGCTCCACCAGCATCACCACGTCATCACCCGCCACCACCCCCACCACCGCCTCCTCCAGGTACGTCATCACCCGCCACCACCGCCTCCTCCAGGTACGTCATCACCCGTCACCACACACCACTATACGAGCATATTTATACGCTCTTATAAATATACAGGTGAGAATATAGGCTGTGTTGTGTGTACCTGGCGCCACAATCTGTTGGTGCAATGGGCCAGGGGCCGGATTATCAAAACTTCGTAACTTTTGGTACTTACGACAAGAAAGTTACGTGTTACGTAAGTACACCCTAATTTTGGCATTATCAAAACTTTCGTACGCAAGACTTAGCTAAAAGCGTATGCTGAAACAATAGTTTCCTATTGCTTCAGTAGACACTCTAAACTTGTGCAGAACCCCACTTACGACATCTCCGATCAGGCGTACAGTTACGTTACGTATCTTCCCGCGCAAATGTTTTGATAATACCACCACTAGAGTTACGTCATCAAGTCAGCACTTACGCCACTCGTAAGTCGATTATGCGTACTTACGAAGTTTTGATAATACGGCCGGGCCATACTTTCAAATATCGCTAAGTGAACGTAAGTTCTTACGCTCTATTTTCTTGTCTATGATTGGTGGATTTTCTCTAAAAGCCGTCAATGATTGGCTGATGAACTAACGATCTCTTAACTTTTTTCGAAAGTATAGGCCCAGATCACGTAATGGGCTGTTGGAGCGCATCTGTGGGTCAGAATGTGGTTTGTTGCAACAAGTTTCCATTGCCACTTGCCGGGCTTGCTAACATTACAAGGTTCTTACGAAATTCTCTGCCACGCCAAAGTTCGGGATGTGTGTTCTTGCCAATCTTTATCTGCACGCCTCTGAGCGAGTCAGTGATTGGTCCCGTGTTGACCATGTATTGGCCTGGTATTGGCCATTAATTGGCACGGTATTGGCCATTTGTTGACCATGTAATGGCCATTTATTGACCTAGTATTGGCTATTTATTGACCTAGTATTGGCCATTTATTGGCACGGTATTGTTCATGTATTGGCCATGTACTGGCCATGTATTGGCCAGTATTGGCCGCGTATTGAGCCAGTAATTGACATCTTCCACTAACGCTCTCCCCCCTTGTACAGACGGCTCCCCCTGCGGCCCTCAGTAAAGATTAGGTTCAGGTAACTCGCCTGCCTTCGTGTCTGCCCTCGCCTGCCCTCACTTTATTATTGTCTACCTATTGTCTGTTCTGCCCTCACTTTATCAGTGTCTGCCTTCGTCTGCCTTCACTTTATCAGTGTCTGCCCTCGCCTGCCTTCACTTTATCAGTGTCTGCCCTCGCCTGCCCTCACTTTATCAGTGTCTGCCTTCGTCTGCCCTCACTTTATCAGTGTCTGCCCTCGCCTGCCCTCACTTTATCAGTNGCCTTGTTCCCATGTCCTGCTCACAGCACGCGCCTTGTTCCCATGTCCTGCTCACAGCACGCGCCTTGTTCCCATGTCCTGCTCACAGCACACGCCTTGTTCCCATGTCCTGCTCACAGCACGCGCCTTGTTCCCATGTCCTGCTCACAGCACACGCCTTGTTCCCATGTCCTGCTCACAGCACGCGCCTTGTTCCCATGTCCTGCTCACAGCAGACGTTCTGCGTTGTGTCATTGCCTTCAATAATTTATTATCTTAATTATCTCAATATTTATGCCTTTAATTATCTCAATAGTTATGTCTTTAATTATCTCAATAATTATGTCTTTAATTATCTCAATAATTATGTCTTTAATTATTAATAGTCATGTCTTTAATTATCAATAATCATGTCTTTAATTATCTCGAAAATTATCTGTATGTCTATATGCCACTTGCGATCATAATTTCGACATGAATATTTCGTATCATCCCTAACGTCTCCCCCTCCCCCCAGCTCACGGCCCATCAAGTTCTCCTACGGACGCGAGGCTCCCACAACCCCCAGCCCTGCCCCCCCTGCAGGTGATCTATATATAATAATACATAATATTATAATGATATATAATATTCATAAAAATGTTTCAAATGGCGTAGAGAATATTTAATCATTAGAGTGAGCAGACAGCTCCTGAACTGAACTCTCCTTGCCCTAACAATTGTGCTGGTAGAGGCGCTGGTGTGACGCCTGCTGCCGTGCACCGAACACTCAACCTTATCACCTCAGAAACATGCGAACATCTCGAAAGTCAATGTCGAATTGAACGTATTTTTTTCGTTGATTCAAAGTTCTTTTCGTTGAGTCAAGTTTTTTTTCGTTGAGTCAAGGTTTTTTTCGTTGAGTCAAAGTTTGTTTCGTTGAGTCAAGGTTATTTTCGTTGAGTCAAGGTTTTATTCGTTGTTTCAAAGTTTTTTCGTTGAGTCAAAGTTTTTTCCGTTAATTCAAAGTTTTTTTTAGTTGAGTCGACGTTTTTTTCGTTGACTCAAGGTTCATTTCGATGAGTCAAAGTTTGTTTCGTTGAGTCAAGGTTTTTTCGTTGAGTCAAGGTTTTTTTTCTTGAGTCAAGGTTTTTTTCGTTGAGTCAAAGTTTTTTTCGTTGAGTCAAAGTTTTTTTCGTTGATTCAAAGTTTTTTTTAGTTGAGTCGACGTTTTTTTTCGTTGACTCAAGGTTCATTTCGTTGAGTCAAAGTTTGTTTCGTTAATCAAGGTTTTTTTCGATGAGTCAAAGTTTTTTTTCGTTGAGTCAAGGTTTTTTTTCGTTGAGTCAAAGTTTTTTTCGTTGAGTCAAAGTTTTTTCCGTTGAGTCAACGTTTTTTCGTTGATTCAACGTTTTTTTCGTTAGTCAAGGTTTTTTCCGTTGAATCAAAGTTTTTTTCGCTGAGTCGAGGTTTTTTCGTTGAGTCAAAGTTTATTTAGTTGCGTCAACTTTTTTTCATTGAGTCAAAGTTTTTTTCGTTGAGTCAACGTTTTTTCGTTGAGTCAAGGTTTTTTTTCGTTAGTCAAGGTTTTTTTACTTTGAGTCAGAGTTTTTTTCGTTGAGTCATGGTTTTTCTCTTTGAGACAAGGTTTTTTCGTTAGTTAAGGTTATTTTCGTTGAGTCAAAGTTTTTTTCGTCGAGTCAGAGTTTTTTTTCGTCGAGTCAAAGTTTTTCTCGTCCAGTCAAACGGATTTTCGTTGCATTGAACTTTTTTTGCTGAATGGAGGTTAATTGAACGTCATTTGCCAGGTGGGAGCTGAACAGGCGGATCACATTTAAATAACCTCGAAGCTACCAGGAAGAGTTCAATATCCGGCGCCGGTGCTCACTAACAAACGAAATTGAATTTCAAATGTTCAATTTTTCGTGGCTTTTTTAGGAGACCAGCGACGTTATTCACGCTGTTTATTATTGCATCGCTGCAGATGCTCTCGAATCATCAAGAGTACATGTTGTCGTATGATACATTTCTATAAATGGCTCTATAGTCAATATAGTATTCAATGGCTCTATAGGAGAACACTAATGTCCTGTTACCACAGATAACAAGGAGAACACTAATGCCCTGTTATCACAGATAACAAGGAGAACACTAATGNTGCCCGCGGCGCTGCTTCGTCACCGCGCGTCCCACGACGACGACGACAGCGACGACGATGATGATGATGGGCCCGTCCTGTACCGGGACGGCGACGAGGACCTTCCTGAAGGTGGGGCCCTCTGTGTACCTAGGGCCTGGGTAGTGGACCCGTCCTGTACCGGGACGGCGACGAGGACCTTCCTGAAGGTGAGGCCCAATGTGTACCTAGGGCCCTCTGTGTAGCTAGGGTCGGGGTGGTGGGCTCGTCCTGTACCGGGATACAGACGAGGACCTTCCTGAAGGTGAGGCCCTTTGTGTACTTAGGGCCGGGGTAGTGGGCCCGTCCTGTACCGAGATACAGACGAGGACCTTCCTGAAGGTGGGGCCCAGTGTGTACCTAGGGCCCTCTGTGTAGCTAGGGCCGGGGTGGTGGGCCGTCCTGTACCAGGACACAGACGATGACCTTATGAAGGTGGGGCCCAATGTGTACTTAGGGCCTGGGCAGGCCAGTGAGACTCGGGTTAGGCTAGTAGGGTTCAGGCCAGGCTGGTGAGACTAGGGTTAGGCTAGTAGGGCCCAGGCCAGGCTAGTGAGACCCGGGTTGGGCTAGTAGGGTCCAGGCCAGGCTAGTGAGACTCGGGTTAGGCTAGTAGGGCCCAGGCCAGGCTAGTGAGACTCGGGTTACGCTAGTGGGGTCCTGGCCAGGCTAGTGCGACTCGGGTTAGGCTAGTAGGGTCCATGCCAGGCTAGTGAGACTAGGGTTAGGCTAGTAGGGTCCAGGCCAGGCTAGTGAGATTAGGGTTAGGCTAGTAGGGTCCAGGCCAGGCTAGTGAGATTAGGGTTAGGCTAGTAGGGCCCAGGCCAGGCTAGTGAGACTCGGGTTAGGCTAGTAGGGTCCAGGCCAGGCTAGTGAGACTCGGGTTAGGCTAGTAGGGCCCAGGCCAGGCTAGTGAGATTAGGGTTAGGCTAGTAGGGTCCAGGCCAGGCTAGTGAGACCTGCACCAGGCTAGTGAGGCTATCATTGTACACCCTCCACCCCTCAGCTCTCATGAACGCTTCCTGTGCACACAGTCATCAGGGGACGCTTACCCCCGGCATCAAGTTAATGAGAAGAACTTGCCTGCGCGCCCTTGTCTTTATTTAGTAAAGAAGGCTTAGGAAATACTGGCGTCAATACGTTGATAGTAGCGATCCTGCTGCTGGAGCTGAAGCGACGTCCAACTGGCGGGATGCGCGGCGCGCCCATGTCAACCTTCTTAGATCCAAGAGGGAGTCATTCTGGCGTCTAAGAGTTGACGCACAGCGCGGCGATCCTCGGGCGCTGTGGCTGTCTCTTATACACATCTAGATGTGTATAAGAGACAGATCTTAGGCCTAGCCGTTATCTAATTTATCATGGATATTACTGGTTTAGCATAGGTGTTATTTGTTCTAGTATAGACGTCATCAGTCTTGGCATATGTCCTCTGTTTTAGCATAGATGTCATCTGTTTTTATCATCTTGTGTTTTTTAGCCGCTTGTAACGTGCCCTCGAAGTTCGATCTGAACGAGACGCCACGACAATCTCTTCGTGGAATAATAATAATAATAACGATAGCTTAAACATAAGGGTATAGTAATGTTGATAATTTGATCCTCTCAGAGTTCTCTTGGGCTAAGACTTAGGTTATTGGGCCCCATGATGTAAATCTGCTGTCCCTGTGGCCCATAATGTTGACCCGCTGTCCCTGTGGCCCATAATGTTGACCCGCTGTCCCTGTGACCCGCAGGCTGCGGGACCAAAGTGTCCCGGAAGGACAGCCTGGCCCTGAAGCTGGCGCTGCGGCCCAACAGGCAGGAGCTCATAGACCGCAACATCCTCCCTCAGCACTCGGAGACCGACCGGAAGGTCTTCAGAGAGGCCATCGGGGCCAAGCTGACCAGGTGAGGGCTACGTGGGGTCTGCAGCACTACCGGAAGGTCTTTGACGGTCTATTCGCCAACCTGCTAGTTGCCGCCCTGCTAGTCGCAAGCTTGCTAGTTAAAGACTTTCTTGTTGAAGAAAACCTTCATGTTTGATTACCTAATATTCGCTGGCATATTAGCTGCTGGCGTGCTAATGTTCGTTTTATTAGTTGTTTGAATTAGTCACCCACTATGCTAATGTCGTTGAAGCAAAGTTAAATATACGTTGATTCAACAAGAAAGACGTATAATTTAATGTCAGATGTGTGTTGCACTGAGCAGCAACATAGCTGTTGTTGCGATATGGCCCTTACGATAATTCTATCCAACATTCATTTTTTTTACAGTTGTTTCAACTTTACACGTGATTATAAGATTAGTTCTGATTATTGACTTGAGAATTTTGCTTTTGCGCGCCGATTGACCAGCCGCCATATACTATTATAGGCATGAACATGTCGACGTGTTGAGAACGTAGTTCGAGGGCGAATTGATAAATTATTCAGGTTACGAATTTTATTGCAAGGGTTGAGAAGGTTAGGAATGTGGCTTGAATTGATGTAGGGGGTGTAAGGCACGATTCTTCCGAGACGTCAGACCGTGAGATCAAATTGGCATAAATTGAAAGCTGGTCAGATGATTTCGACGGACATTTTATAGGTGAAGGTTTCTGCGTCTACTCTATACGTCTATAGGTGTGCATGCGTCTACTCTATACGTCTATAGGTGTGCATGCGTCTGCTCTATACGTCTATAGGTGTGCATGCGTCTGCTCTATACGTCTCTAGGTGTGCATGCGTCTAGTCTGAGGAGTAGGCATACAATGGCTCGCAAAAGTATTGGATACATTGCAATTCATATCTCAAGTTAAAGTGTCAGATTTTTTATAATAATTGGTCAGTATTTTGCTAATGGTGCTAGAAGAATTATATAGAAAGGATATTGAAAAGTATGCATTGTTTAGATTTTCTTCAACAAATAGAAAAATTAACCAACGCAAAAGTATTGGGCACATGTTCAAAAATGAACAAAAATAACTTTTTTGTAGTACTCAAAATTTGCTTTCCACTTCAGACGTTCCACTAACCTCATAACGTTATCTAACTGGCCAATCAGAGCATTTTGCTATTGTTTACGAGATTTTGTGTTCCGGTGAAGATATTATTCAGCTTCATCTTTAAAAGCTAATTTTAAATGACTAAAAATCGAGAGTTGGCGACAGATTTGCGTCAAAATATCATAGATTGTCACAAGAAACGTAAGGGGTATCGAATAATATCCAAGGAGCCTGATTTATCATTGAGTACAGTTGGAAATATCATCAGGAAGCAATCATCCTGATGATATCATCCGAGCATGCTGTTGCTAACCTTCCAAGACCTGGTCGTCCAAGGAAACTAACAGACGATAATGCAAGGTTGATTAGCAGAAAGGTACAGAAGAACCCTTTGTTGCTCGTGGGGAAATTAAAAGCGATCTGGAGGAATCTTGGTGTAAAAAAGGACACAATCAGCAAAGCTCTAAATCGGACTGGTCCTATGTCAAGGTTCTCACGAAAGATTCCTCTGTTGAAGTACCGACACGTGAAAACCACAAGATTTGGGAAATCAGACAAAATCCTGGTCGGACGAAACAAAAATCAAACTTTCAAAAGGAATTTGATCGAACCTTGACATAGGACCAGTACGATTTAGAGCTTTGCTGATTGTGTCCTTTTTTACACCAAGATTCCTCCAGATCGCTTTTAATTTCCCCACGAGCAACAAAGGGTTCTTCTGTACCTTTCTGCTAATCAACCTTGCATTACCGTCCGTTAGTTTCCTTGGACGACCAGGTCTTGGAAGGTTAGCAACAGCATGCTCGGATGATATCATCAGGATGATAGCTTCCTGATGATATTTCCAACTGTACTCAATGATAGATCAGGCTCCTTGGATATTATTCGATACCCCTTACGTTTCTTGTGACAATCTATGATCTTTTGACGCAAATCTGTCGCCAACTCTCGAGTTTTATTCATTTAAAATTAGCTTTTAGAGATGAAGCTGAATTATATCTTCACCGGAACACAAAATCTCGTAAACAATAGCAAACTGCTCTGATTGGCCAGTTTAACGTTATGAGGTTAGTGGAACGTCTGAAGTGGAAAGCGAATTTTGAGTACTTCAAAAAAGTTATTTTAATTTTTTTTTTAACATGCATCCAATACTTTTGCGTGGGTTAATTTTTCTATTTGTTGAATAAAATCTTAACAATGCATACTTTTCAATATCCTTTCTATATAATGTTTATAGCACCATTAGCAATATACTGACCAAATATTATAAAAAATCTCGCACTTTAACTTGAGATATAAAGAAAATTGCAATGTATCCAATACTTTTGCGAGCCACTGCATGTATGCATGGTTGTTGCGGATAAAAGGAGCTAAATTTCGCCCCGGAGTGGTTTTTCTGCAGTCACGGTTAGGGAGCAGGTTCACGGCCTGCGCTTGACCCGCTACCGAACATTACCGGTCGTGAGAAAGACTCATCGATACAGCTGCGATTCCTGTAAGAGCCAAACTCAGACCTCTACATTCATCCCTCGCAAAATAATTCTAAAATTTCAATCAAATAATGGAAGGAAACTCTTTGAAATTGAATAAATTGAATTCTCAGTCAAATAATTTAACGAAACTCTTTGAAGTTAAAGAAAATTAATTCTCAATCAAATAATTGAACGGAATTTTGAAATTAAATGTCTCGAAACGTTGTCCCGACTTTCGTACATAACCGGGAAACGTATAGGTACGGTTGCTTCCGGTAGAGGTACGGTTGCTTTCCGTAGAGGTACGGTTGCTTCCCGTAGAGGTACGGTTGCTATGCCGTGACCGAATCGGGCATAAAGGTCCTAAGCCGTAATGACGATAGAAGCGTACCGCTGTTGTAATCCTGTAGCCGTAGTATCGAAAGATATCTCATGTTCCTTATGATCGTAGAATTTCCAACAGCCGTACTTTGAAATGGCTGAGATGGTCTCCACTTCCATGGCGTTGCTGCCAGCTCGTGGCCGTACGGCTGCTGCTGTGTCCGACCGTACTCTAGCCTACACGTCTCTTAAATGGATTTCCGGAATCGCTCCTCTTCTGGGTGCTTCTGGGCTTCTTTCGCAATTAAATGACGACCAGCGCCGCTTTGCGGTGTTGTTGCCGTACAGAAACGTAGTGTAGTCTTTGTCGTCACTAGTAGATGGCGCTAGTGTCGCTTGTAGATGGCACTAGTGTCACTTGACCATGGCGCTAGTGTCGGCGATGCAAGTTTCGGTGCGCATATCATCGGCGCTGCCTGGCGACCTGCCAGCGCCGCGACCGCCGCGTGGCGTGCAAAGAACCGCCGTCACTCGGCCGCCGCGTGGCGTGCAGTGAACCGCCGTCACGGCCGCCGCGTGCGTGCAGTGAACCGCCGTCACGGCCGCCGCGTGGCGTGCAGTGAACCGTGCTGTAGTACAGCGCGCTGCCCCTAAGCTCAGCACAGCGCGGTATGCGTGTCAGGGTCGCCCTTCTGTGCGTATGCCGGGGCTGCATCATCTGCAGTGTACCGCACGTTTACGTTAGGCCAGCGTTTACGTTAGGCCAGCGTTTACTTTAAGCCAGCGTTTACGTTAGGCCAGCGTTTACTTTAAGCCAGCGTTTACGTTAGGCCAGCGTTCAGGTACAAGACACGTCGCTATAAATATCACGCCACTACCTTACCCTGCCTTACCCTCACTGCCCTACTCTCCCCTCACTGCCCTACTCTCCCCTCACTGCCCTACCCTCCCCTCACTGCCCTACCTTGCTTTACCCTCACTGCCCTACCCTCCCCTCACTGCCCTACCCTCCCCTCACTGCCCTACCCTCCCCTCACTGCCCTACCCTCCCCTCACTGCCCTACCCTTCCCTCACTGCCCTACCTTCCCTACTCTCCCCTCACTGCCCTACCCTTCCCTCACTGCCCTACCTTGCTTTACCCTCACTGCCCTACCCTCCCTTACCTTACTGCCCTACCCTCCTTTACCCTCGCTGCCCTACCTTCCCCTTACCCTCACTGCCCTACGCTATGCCCCGTTCACTGCCCTATACCCTCCCCGCGCCTGAGGGGCACGAGCTGTGCCAGGACAGTCTCCCCTCGCGTGCCTTCATCGCACGACGCTCGCGGTGCGTGCTCTCCTCTTGCAAAAAATTATGTCTTTGTTAACTTGTTAATTTAAAAGTGAATGCAGTCAAATGCACAAATAAGTTCTCTAACTGAACACTCATGTGTGCGACGGCTGTTATCATACAGGCTTGAACTTTGTCAAGAAATATTCCTTATCTTTCTTCTTACGAATCTATCTTACGTTGTTACGATTCTTCTTCACTTTCAGTGGGTGATGGTTTACATTTGAAATTTTCTGTGAACAGAAGTGCAATTTTTCTACTACTTTCTGACTTTAAACGCAAGTACTAGGAACTGGATTGAAGAACTCGTATTTATAATTTTTTAATCCATGTTTGATGCTATCGGTTATGAACGTGACATCCAAAATAGTCATTTCTTAATGCTCTGAGTGGTAAATAATTTGTGCTTCTTACTTGAATTTGAAATGTGTAGCTGATCGTGCTTGTAAATACTGGGGCCCTGTTACACCATCAGTTATTTGACTTTGACGTGGTAGCCCTGTTGTGTTAGTCGCGCCCCCAGCCCCCTGCCGCCCGTTATAAATACAAGAGTCCATCAGTTATCTTTATAATGTCCATCAGGGACCGCTTACGGGCCTCTGATTATTACGTTAACCTTGATGAAGGCAGTCCGTCACCTCCCAAGAAGCAGCTGCGCATGAGGCAGCTCAATGAGCTTCTAGAAGGTCGCATCGCTGCCACATTCAGGCTCACAACCTCTGCCAAAACTGCTGCTTGCACCGCAGCGCATTCCTCTGCCACTGTGTGGCAAGATCCTAAAATACCGGACAACGTTAAG